CGGTGCGTGTCTCGCCTCTGCACATCATCGCTGTGGGTTCGATGAGATTATGAGGGCGAGCGGCAATCTTCCTGTCGCCATGGTTGCGGAGGTGCCGCAGAAGGGCGAGAGCGGCATGCGGGCGTACACCGCTGCGGGGTCGGACAGCTGGGCGCCTCTCCGCATCGTGGTGTCCACAAAGGACCTCGAAGACCCATCGAAGTACTGCGACCAGGAGGGTGTGGAACGCCCAGACTCCGGTGGGGGGAAAACGGAGTGCTCTTCCGAACATGTGGTCACACCGGAAATGATTGGTCTGTTTAGTAACACTATCGTCCCTGCTGCTGTGAAACTGCACACAGACCGTCTGCTCGTTCAGCCTGTGAGCGGCCCTTTAAAGGTGCCTCAGTTCAAGGACTCTGTGTGCAGCAGCCTCACAGTGCCGTCTGAACATCGGACAACAGGCGTGAGCAACGCGGACATGGTGCTGTACATGACGGCTTGGCGTTCCTTGTACCAACCAATATGGGCTCTTCCCTGCGCCACGTTGGGTAGTCGTCCGGTTGCAGCTGCTTTTGGCATCACTGAGGCTGCTGAAAATAACATCAGAGGTTCCACTCGCTTTGCTGCCCACGAGATCGCCCACGCACTCGGGTTCGGGTACCAGCAGATGGAGTCCCTTGGCATGGTCTCAAAGGTCAGCAATGTGCGCGGCAAGGCGCAGGTCACGGTTGTGNCACGCACTCGGGTTCGGGTACCAGCAGATGGAGTCCCTTGGCATGGTCTCAAAGGTCAGCAATGTGCGCGGCAAGGCGCAGGTCACGGTTGTGAAGTCTCCCAAGACTGTGGAGAAGGCCCGAGCGCACTACGGCTGCGACGAACTTACCGGCATGGAGCTGGAGGACGATAATGAAGAGGGATACGAGCTGTCTCACTGGGAGCGGCGCAACGCGAAGGACGAGCTGATGGCTGCGGAGTTTGACGGCAGCGCCTACCTCTACACTGCACTGACGATGGCGGCGTTCGAGGATATGGGCTTCTTCCGGGCGAATTGGGGGATGGAGGAGCCGATGAGCTGGGGCAGTAACGCCGGCTGCGGCCTGCTTAAGGATAAGTGCATGACGAACGGCGTCACGAAATACCCGGGCATGTTCTGCAGCGAAAGTGGAGTTGCAAAATGCTCCTCGGATCGCCTGGGTTTTGGAAAATGTTCCTTTGACAAGCAAAAACAAGATATACCCCCTCATTTTCAGTACTTCACAAACCCGAAGGTTGGGAACTCGAAATCTATGTTAACCGACTATTGCCCCGTCGTGGAGAAAGAATTAACTAAATGCAGTGAAGCAACAAATTCCAAGTCGCCAGGGAGCGTTTCGGGCAAGAACTCGTGGTGCCTCGACGCTGATTCCCTCGTTGTGAATGGTGGAGACTCGACTGTTAAGACTGACGGGGTCTGCGCGGCTGTGTCTTGTGCCGGTGGCGCAGTGAAGGTGCGATATCTTGGCGACGAGAAGTGGCACAGCTGCCCCGAGGGTTGTTCNGTCTGCGCGGCTGTGTCTTGTGCCGGTGGCGCAGTGAAGGTGCGATATCTTGGCGACGAGAAGTGGCACAGCTGCCCCGAGGGTTGTTCACTCAGGCCGTCGATGACGTCTTCGGCCTTTGCGAGCGGCACCATCAAGTGCCCAAAGTACACCGAGGTGTGCACCATCGCCAGCAACGGCAGCAGCCTCATCCATTCCCACTCCACTCGTGACACGAGCAGCAGCTACATCTGTCCCAATATCGGCGATGGCAGTGCGGGTGTCTTGGGCATCGCCGCACCCATTGTGTTCGTCGCGGTGTTCACCACGGCGATTGTTATCTGGTGATGCGTGGGTCAGGGAGTACACCAAGGATCTGTTGACGGCAATTATATACAAGCAAGGGGAAGGAAGGGTGTGTGTGGCTTCTCGGGAGGATACGCCAGGAAGTGGGACCGTTTGGTCGTCGGTTTGTGCTTCTAATATTTAAGGTTGGGCTTACACTGCTTGTCGTTCTGCGACACCAAAACACGTTTTTATTTTAACACTTGGGCTTTTATTGCGTGTCTTGGGAAACGAAAAGTGTTTTTTTTTCTAAAGTGAACCAGTTGTGTCCGTATTTCTGTGCTGCATCTAGAGCCTTGTGCATCAGAACGTTTTGTGCTTTTCGGAATGATCGTGGTGTGATGGTTGTATGTGTTTGTGTTGTGCTGTATGATAGAGGTGCTGTTCTCTCTTCTCAACTCTGCTGCTGCTGATGCTGGCCGTGACGCGGGCACGCTGCCGGCCTATCCCTGGCTGCTCCACCACCCTCATTACTACATGAGCAGTAGGCGAGCTGCTCCTTG